ATTAGGTGAAATGAAGGTGTGGGTAAAATTGCAATATTTCCAGAATCTCTCACCTGGCCTTAGTGCATCTCCATATCAATAGGTGTTTCCAAGGAGTGGAGAGCAACAGTCTGCCTCCATATCCACAGGGGGTTACAAGGGGAAGTGAGGGCATACCTGGAGCAGAGAGGTTGGGTGGGGTCCCTTTTTGCAGCTGGGTTGAGAGAGACATGGGTGAGCAAACGTGGACGACTACACGTAAGCAATAAACGGGTTTCCCCCTTTGACTGATTGCAGCTTCAAAGGTAATTTTCCCTGGGCTGGGAACTTACTTTCCCCCCAGCTTTGCAGAAGGGAATAGTAATGCCATTCTCCTACCCAGATTGGGAAAGATGGGGAACGGTCTTTGTATTCCTGAAAAGTTGTTTCAAAAGATGTCCTTTTTTCTGACAATTTTAAACTGCAAATTTTGAAGCTGAAAATAAGCCTCTGAAGGACAAAATCCTTATGTTTCTAATGCATATGGGCTTTCCATGTAGTTTCCTCCTGTAAGATATTTATTTCCACATCTGTTGGGAAAACCTTACACCGCTTTCTTGTCTGTTCTGTGCTTGACTTATTTCTACCACATAGCTGGCAATTTTCCTAATTAAATATATCCCCATCTTCCAAATTCTGCAGAATTTGCCTCTATTTTGCCTCATTTTAGAAATAGGACAAATACATCTGAGTTCCCAAACTCCTTAGTTTACCCATAAAAGGTAATTAAATCTAAAGATTTAATATCAGAGACAAATTTTCAAAATACTTCCACATTAAAAAAAAATTATTTTCACTGAGGAGTAAGGAAAGATAACCTCCATGTAACAAATGAGGATGAAATGGAAACCTAGAGATTTGGAAACTATGTAGGTGTGGGTAAAATTGCAGTATTTCCAGAATCTCTCGCCTGGCTTGTGCATCTCCATGCCAGCAGGTGCTTCCAAGGGTGCAGAGAAGTGGTCCATCTCCATATCAACAGCTGATTACACGGGTGTAACTGGAGGGGAGAATTTGGATGCGGTCCCTTTTTGCAGCCCGGAGAAGAAAGACACAGGCGAACAGAAGTGGACAACTGCTTGTAGGCAATAAATGGGTTTCTCCCACTTTATTTCTCCCTTTGACTGATTTTGGTTTCAAAGGTAATTTGCCCCAGGCTGGGAGAAAGATTCCCCCCTCCCCCTAGAGTCACAGTACGGTAATAGAATATATTACCAGCAGTGCCAGGAGTAATCCAAAATCTTGAGTCCCAATCCCAAATTGAGTCCCAATCTCAATATATACAAAATTTCATTAAGTAGCTTTAGGATGCTCTCAGTCAAGGATGCATTCATCTGTGCTCCTACCGTGGTACCTCACAGCTTTCACTCCCCACCCACCCTATTTGGCTCTATCTCACTTCGATGTTTGCTGGTATCACTGGTGTAAGGTGGATCATTCCAGGGTCACTCAAGGCTGGACACCTGTGCATAGATTTTTGAGCTATTTGTATCTGCACTTCCCCTAACTGCTGATTTTTTCTTCTCAATTTTCTTTCACTTTTATATTTATTTCCTGTATATTATAAATTTAAAAAAAAGGTCTCTGCCAGTGTTAGACATTGTCTGTGCTTTCTGACAGATCGTCACCAGATGTGACTGTGCAGGGGTGTCCGAAGGGAGATTCTTGTGGTGATAGAATGATTCTATATGTTTACTGCAAGTGGTTGCACGAACCTGCACCTGATAAAATGGCACAGAATCACACACATTCATTGAACCAGTGTTAATTTCTCGAATTTGGTTGTCATGTGACATCACCAGAGGAACTTGGTGAGCTGGTGCACAGGATCTCTCTGCTATCTGTGACTTCCTGGGAACCCATCATTGGTTCAATATGACACAATCTGAACAAAAACTTGCAGCATTTATCAGCATGGTAATAAATTAGCTAACTTTGGGAATAGGCTCAGGGTGGAGAGAATAAATCTATTTTTCCCCCTCTGTAGTTTAGGAAGTCTCAGAGCTCAGACAGATGGAGCCGTTCCCAGGAAGAGTCAGGTTAGACCATGGACTCAGTCACTCTCCCTTGCATTTAGAGAAACAACGTACCTGATTTTGATAAATATGATGCTGGGTGGGAGAGTCAAAGTCAAGTAAAACATGGTGCCCATCCCTGCAGACCTATTAGGGAAACATGGACATGTGAGCGACTTGGGCCCTTCAAGTGCTGTGGATCGTGGGCTTGCTACCTGTCCGGAGTCTGCTCGGAGTTCAGGAGAGCTGGGGCAGGACTGGAGAAGGCTTCTGGGGAGAGAGCCCTCCAGCTAAGAGGGAGGATGAGTTGTTCTCCAGGTAGAACAGCACAGGGAATAGGGCACAGATTCTCTCCCTTTGTAAATGCAGCACCTGCAGCCAACATCTAGTATCAAAAAGAGACTCCATAAATGCGTGAAACTGAGCGATCAGGGCTGTGTGGAGGAGAGGGGCGGACTCTAAACAACAAAGGCAGAAAAAGAGCAAATTTCCATTTTTTTCCCCCAAGGAGGACTCTGCCAGGTGCCAAGATAATACAGAGCACCTACAGGGCAGAAATAGCCCAAACTTTATGTGTTCCATCTTCTTCATTCACACACTCACATGGAGATTTCCCAAAGGCACCGATATTGTACCTTCTCCTGGTCCTTCACCCAACACACTGACCTGGAACTCTAGCATCACAATTCCTTTCTGGAAATCCAATCAATTTGGGTATGAATTTAGTCTGTGTATTGTTTTTTAAAGTAATTTGACTTTAGTGAAAATTGTATTTTCAAATATTCAGCATAAACATTATTCTGTAATATATAAACAAATGAAAATTATGAAAACTGAGAATTTTACATTGTTTCTTATTATTATAACAATTTCTTAATCTTTCTCAACTTTTAAAACATGTTTTACATTATTGTCCCCAAGTTCAATTACATTATTTGGAAGTTCTCTAATTTTCTGTCCATTCAGCACACTCCCTTTTTCATTCACATAGAAAAACCCAACAATTGAAGGGAAGAAGAAAAATAAATAGTATCTGTGTGGGTTGACCCAGAAGGAAATCTACTTCTCTTCTCTGATACGAATTTAAGTTAGAGACAAATTAAACAACAGATTTTTTAAAAATAAAATATATTTTCAAAATTTAAAAAAATTATCAAGCCAAGTTCATTTAATGAATAACTTCAGTAAATTCTTTGAATTTGTATGTTCTAAAAGGTGTATACCACTTTTAGAGTAGATGTGCAGCTTAAAAATGCTCACATTACAAAGTAGAACTTTTAAGCTGCCAAGTCAAAGCTTTGCAGTAAGATGGGGATCTTGACTTCTTTAGACAGTAGCTATGGAAACTTATAGAAAGGCTCTTACTGTTGAGTTGTTATTAAAAGGACAATTTAAAATACTGCTATGTGTGAATTTAAGACTTGGAAGTGATCCCATAGTTTATAAAAACTGCAACAAAAGTTTAGAAATGGAAAACCCGTTAAATGTCACCTTTGGATTTTCACAGGCTAACTGGGTTAATGGTTATACAAACCTCTTATTTCCTAATATATAACATTGTCTCAGAAGATGGTATTTTTCTTTCCTTTTCTAATACCAGTATGATATTTTAGTGAGAAAAAACTTATTTTTTTCTCCCTTTAAAGACATAATGGAAAAATATATGCTGCTGGGGCTGGCAGAGTAGGTGCATCTCAGAATATCGTTCGCTTTTCTATTTGCTGTGATCGATCCTTGGGACTCGCAGTAAGGTGATAGGCAGATGCGCCAGTGTTTGGAGCCAGATTTATATTCTTCCTCAGAGTAGACTATGAAGTATTCAATTTGAAATTTATCCAGTTGTAATCTGTTTTGATGAACAATTCGGGCAATTTACATTACAAACTATAGGTCATCCTTAATTTAGGATGGTGTTACATCCCCATAAGCCCATGATAAGTTGAAAATATTGTAAGTCAAAAATGCATTTAATACATGTGACCCACTGAACATCACAGCTTAGCTAGGGCCTCTCTTAAACGTGCTCAGAACACTTACATCAGCCTACAGCTGGGTGACTCCCAGACAAAGCCTCTTTTATAATGAGGTATTTATGGAGTACTGGACCAACAGTGACCAACAGAAGGACTTGGTTGTACCAAATGGTTGTAACCGTGTCGGTTGTTTGCCCCTGTGATCATGTGGCTGACCGGTGGCCGCAGCTCGCTGCCCAGCATCATGAGACAGGGTGGTACGTACAGCCCAGGCAGACATCCACATTCAAAAGGCAAAGTGTGGCTCCTGCTGGGTGCACAGCACTTTCATACCATCGTGAAGTGGAAAAATTTTATGTCAAGTCATCACATGTCAGGGTCTGCCTGTATAAAACAAGCAACATCTGAAATTTTCACTTTATGGAATTATACATATGAAATACTGAGAAATACAAGAGTAATATGTTTACTCTTCATGCCTAGAGATGACGTATAAATGCACATAAAAATATATACATGAATGACAAAAGTTATATATATGTGTGTGTACATATATATATACGTGTGTGTGTACATATAATAAATAGATGTCTTTTTAATGCATGCTAATGAGTACTCCCTTATGCCAGGCACTTCACTCAAAATTTTGTCTCATTTTATCCTCATAAGAACCCTACGAGATAACCCTGCATATTGCTATTGCCATGTTATAGAAGAGACAACTGAAGCTCAGGAAAGTTAAATAACTTGACCAATTTCCACAGCTAGTAAAGGGTAAGGCCAAAATGTTAAAAAAAAATCTAACCTACTTTAGAGCTCATATACTCAGACGCCAGGTACCCCACACAACCCCGCTGACCCTGACGCTCTCGAGCAGAACACGGTGCCTGAGAATAGATGTTTCTTAAGCTTGGTTACTTAACGTTTTTTGAACTAGTGCATATTTCTCAAATTAGCTCATTATTGATAATTCTTTTTAAAATCCATTTCACAGCAATTATACAAAATGGAAAAAAAAAAGCGACATTTTCAAGGGATGGAAATTCAGCAATCCGTATGGCCAGGGCTCCCTTGGAAGCAGCGCGTTTCGGCTCGGCCCCGGGCGATGCATCCCAGCCCCGGGAGCTCTCGCACCCGTCCCACTGCCACCTAATGACGGTCTCAGCAGGAGGTACCAGCCCTGGAGCAGAGCTAAGCCAGGCAGCACACACGTGGGTCCTGGCCCCTCCTCTGCAAACAGCTGACAGAAGACAGACTTCCTGTGTCCCAGTGTGGGAGAAATACAGGGCACACCGCGGCCTTTGGAGGCACTTGCGCGCATAGGAGCTGCTTCGCAGAATCAGAGAGCTGGAGGCAGCACAGCGGAGGGAATGTCTCAACTACCTCCCACACTTTGCAGCCTGGTCTAGAGAATAAAGCGGTTGGCCCAACGGCACACAGATAATCAAAGTCAGAGTCAGGGTGGAACTGAGGCCTCCTGACTCAACTACAGTCATTCCAGCCCCCCTTAACATCAGCTGAGACATGTTCTTTTCATTACATGTGTGGAACCGTCTGATTTAAAGTGGCTTGAGTTTAAAGGAGGCATTGTTGGTTCATGTAACGGAAACAGCCACAGCCATATCAGTGGGACGTGTTCTCCCCATCTGTCACCAACACGCCTCTGCGGACCCCATTCTCAGGTTGCTCTCTGGCGAGATGTCTCTCGCAGCTGGAGCTTCAGCATCCTCTTAAGTTCAAGGGCAGAGGAAATGAGAGCTTCTCTTTCTCCAAACAATTTCAGACTAAAATCTTGGGCCTGACTTTCCTGGCCAGAATTGGATTTGTCTCTATTCCTTGAAAAATCACCAGTTCCACAGCAAGGGAATGAACCAATTCAGCAAGGCCTGTTCGAGGTCACATACCCACACCCCGGCCAGTGGGACCCAGGTGTTTGGGATATTTTCAGCAGGGGAAGAAAAAGATCATGGAGAGTGCCAAAGCAATAATGTTCATTCTATGAATGTAAATAACACTTATAAAATGTGGAAGTGACTAACAATATTGAAGGAAGTGAATAAAAAGATATCACCTGATGAAGACATATCAAGATTTTTGCCACAAGTACTCTTCAGGTGAGTTATATTTTATTAAGGTATAAATCAATTCAAAGAAGGGATAGGAAAATACTTTGAACAACAATGACTAAATATCCAAAGGGCATTGCAATACCAATAATTGGTAGGAAGAGCAAGGAAGAAATGTTTTCTTATCTGCAGGAAGTGGAAATAGTGATAATGTGGAATCGGTATTTTGTGTATCGTAATAGAGTGAAATTCTGCTGAACATGCACCATATTTCATTGCTTTACATTTTCCTGAATTTTTTTCATAATACCAGAATTTGACATAATATGTAATATATGTCTTTGTTATTTCTATGCTTTACTGCCTGTGTTCTCTACCAGGGTGTAAGCTCCCCAAAGATAGGAATCTGTGTCATTTTTGTTGATATCTCAATGTCTAGAAGAGGGCCTGGCACATAGTAGGCCCTCTATAATAAATATTTGTTTAATGCTATAGAGTCTAATATGGTAGCCATTAGCCACATGTGACTATTTACATTTTAATTTAAATTAATTAAATGAAATTAATTTTAAAAATCAGTACATCAGACATAGTCACCCCATTTTACGTGCTCAATAGCTGCAGATGCTAGAGGTTACCATATTAAACAGTGCAAATGTAGATTGTTTCTATCAGTTTAGTTCTACTGAATGGAATTCCATGGAATTCCTTTGGAATTAATGAATGAGTAAATACTCAGAATAATGAAGAAAATAAGTGGAAGTCATTATAATAATTGTCAGGTTAATGAGATTAAAAGTAGAAAGCTGTACTGAATCCTAAAAGGCCTCTGTGGAAAATCAGAAACAATGAATAGTATTAACTTTAAAGACTTTGACAAAAGACAAGTCTGACTTTTGTTTTAGATCAATTATGTAAAAGCAGGGAGACTAAGTAATTTGGGGACTGACCTGAAAACGGAAATTAGTAAATCTTAGGCCTTTAAATAGAATATTCAGACTTTTTGTTAAAAACAGCATAAGTGGAGGCCTTCCCAACCTCTCATCATCATTAAAATCACTTCACTGAGATTTGTAATCCTAATCCACAAAGTATGAACATGGACCGAATGGGATATGACACAACTCGAGCTTTTCAGTGCCTCTCTTTAATTGTAAATAGACAGGCAAGGAACACCAGGCCCTTGGGGAAGGCCTCCACGTGCACGAGAGAGGCCAAAACAACCTGGAGGGAAAAGGAATGTAGGAAACAAGGGACAGTGTAAGGACCAGAACAAAATCCTCAAAGGGGATGCATCCATGTAACGAGCATGGTGTCATACAAAGGAGGAAGGAAGGAAGGAAGCTCTTTGAAATTAAAAATAAGATGACAAATTTTTTTTCAAAAAATTAAGAAATGACAACAAAAAGAAGCATGAGAGAAAAAGAGAGAAGATCGACCCAGGAGTTCCAAAACCCAATGAACAGGAGCTCTGTAAGGAGTAAATGGAAGGTAGAAGAGAATAAATGACCAAAGAAATAATGGAAGTAAATTTCCAGAACCAAGGGATCCATTTATATAAAAAGGAAAATGAAGAAAATGTAAACACTGTATACTATATAATAACAATAATAGGAAGTATTTATATAGTCAGAGTAATATATTTTAAAATGTGATGTAACTAGTGAGCAACTAGAGGGCGGGAAGGGGTGAAGGAGGCTAGAACACTGTCTCTACCCAATGAGAAAACCATTAGAAAATCTAAAATTGGTAATTAAAAAATAGCACTATATGGACATTACTTGGAAGTATGGTAAATTTAAATCAATTGGAAAGTGGAAGATTGTTGGCTTCATTCTGTTTTATATGAAGTTTTCATAGTTTTTTTATTGAAGGATTTTACTGGCTTTTTGAAACTGCATGTAGTGATTAGAAAAAATTAAAAACAGTAAACATTAAACATATTAAACACATTAGCCAGCAATTACTCAAGAACGAAAGACACCTTACACTTTTTGCTTTTTATCTCACTTTATAAAAAAATTACCATTTGCTTAAGCCTCTACATTTATTTCATAATCATAGAAAACCTCAGACGTACACTATATATATATATATATATATACTATTACTCTTCTGTAATTTTGGCAAAAATTTTCTTGTTGTCCCAATAGTTTAAAAAAACACTGCTAGCTTCCTACTCTTAAAAACATTGTTTTATTAAAATACTATTCTTGCTTACTTTTTTCTCTGTGAGACTTAGTGGCATTATTTTATTTTCCATAGTCAGTGTAACCTTATTGTGGCATCTCGCAGCCTCTCTCAGAGGGAGCTCCTTAACTCGGTGGAACCACTCAGTCATGGACGCCCACGTATATTCATCCAGTGAATGCTTACCAACAGCTCACTGATACTGCAACACTCATCAATAGTGTTTTCAAGGATCACAGGGTTTGTGCCCACCAATTCAATGCCATCTTCCTGGCATTGAGACCAATATCTGCTATGTGAAAGACGCTAAAAGAATATGCAAATATGCATGTTTGTTGACTGACTGACAGAAGAAATAGGACTGAGGGTTTTGGAGTCAGATGGTCCTAGATCAAAACCCTCGCTCTGAAACTTAAGTATCTGTGATCTCTTCAAATTTCTTATACCCTTTGTACATACGTTTCCTCATTTATAAAATGGAAATAAGATGTATTGTATATAGCTCTTGCAAAAATTAAATATGAAAAAAAAAGTGTAAAATGCCTGACATAACAGCTGACACAAAGTGAACTCTCATTGTATGGTATCTAAAATTACTAAGGCAGTGAGCCCCGCAGAACTAGAATTTATTGATAACCCGAAGAGAAGTGAGGTTTACCAGAGCGAAGATGGGTGCCAGTAAATTCAGAAATGCAATTTCCTAGAGCTTCCTGACTGGGTAATCGTCTGAAATAAAGTTGTACTTCTGGTAACTGTTTCTTCTTGTCTGTAGAAGGATAGTTAAGTAAATTAATATTGGTGATATTTTGAATGCTAAATTTTATAAATACAAAATATGTCTTCTGATGATCACAAACCACTAAGACCTATCTCTTTAAACTGCAGCCGTATCAACAGGAAGGTTTGGTGCAATCTCAGATCAGCCGTTGAGACCTGCCTCCCTCCCAGCACTGCCCCGGATTGCAGGCAGCAATGGGTATGGGACCTACTACGCGCCCTGTGGCTGTGCTCTCATCTCTGCAGGATGTTAACTGAGAGCTTAAGGTATGTGATATAGTTTAGGTGTGACGATTCCAAGATGGCATTTGAATAATTCATACACAGCGAGCACTAAAAAACATATGCAGAAACATCAGACAAAAATCCCATTTATCTTCATGTCAAGTGATTCAGGAGATCCCATGCTTTCCCTAATCATGGCAGAGATATTGGTTGGGAGCACACACACACACACACACGTGCACACACACACGCGCACACACACACGCACGCGTGCACACACCAGTATAATTGAGAAAAGCTAATTTTAAACCGCAAGTATTCATAATATTTCATATGGCCAATATCTGTTCTCACTTAAACTCACACATAAGTAAGATTCCCTACAATCATTAAGATGTTTAAAAAGTCTGAAGAAATTCATGAGGAAATTACTACATAGCAGACTCTCTGTTGATTATAAATGCTTATGTATTGCTCTGTTTATATGATATCAATGAGAGATATCATAGACTGAAGGAGACAAAATAGTAAAAACAATAACAGCTACTGACATTTTTGGGTTTGGCCAGGAAACCTTTTATGTTTGAAGAGATTAAAAAGGGGGGGCATTGACAGCAATATGGGAGCCACCCCATAACCTAGCCTAGGGACACAGTCCAAACACAGAACAAAATTCTCCATGTAGAAAGACATGAGCAGCCAGAAAAGCAGCTGCCCAGACGCGGCCCAGGTCGGGGTCCCCTGTGGAGACAAAGGCTTTGCAGGGAGAGGACTTCCTCCCCGGCCCGATCACAATCGAGCCGGACTAAGAGTGGCATGGCTCACACCCGGGCGTGGGGACAGGACAGGCTCACCGAGCGTGATGGCTACACAGCAAGGCCTGTGAATCAAATAACCCCACCTCGTCAGTCCAAGAGGTGCCTCCAACCAGAACGCAGTCCGCAGGCCTCCTGCTCACAGACCAGCGCCTTTGTCTGCCTTGACTCGGGCCTGCTCCACCCTTGCAGTGGATTCAAATAAAACTTTCCCTCTGCTTCGCTGCTGTGTCTCTGCCTTTCAATTCTTAGTTGTGGTGGGGACAGAACTGAGAACACACCCAACCCATAACACGGCTATAATAACATATGAAAACATCGTAAAACCACAGAATAGGGTGAGCTGGGCTGCAGTGGGAAAACTCCAAAGACCTTGCAGGACACTGTGCAAAAGTGATGATAAACTTCTGAATAAACGAGAAATAACAAGGGATATGACCGAGCTGAAGTGGAAGTGCTTTAATAGAGGAAAGACCATCACAGTGGATGCGGAGGGAACGGTAGCATGTGAAGAGAGGATCTGGAATAAAGGAGGAATTGCATCTGCAGAGTGAAAGAGCTCATCCTCCCCCGAGAAGGACAGATGTGGAGCAGTTGACCTCGGGCAAGTCCTTAGCACCAACACCATGCATCCGAGTTACTCCCTTCCAAGATGACAGTCCTTCAGACACAGGCACCCGAGTTGAAAAGCAGCTGCTCATAAGGAAAGATGGGGGCCGCCTGGGCTAGCCCCAGGCTCGTCCCAGCAGCCTGTGAGAACAACTTTCAGGCTGCAGAAGACCCGAGAGAATGCGCCTGCTCTCATGCTGTGCCTCACGTACAAAGGCAAGGGGCAGACTCCTCCAAATATGATAGAACTCAGGAACCAAAGCACTTCTGAGCCCTTCTTGGGAAAAAAAGCACCTTCCAATTAAATTGAGTCAATGAAGTCATGCTTGGGGAAGCTTCGGTGAGAGGCACTCACTATCACAAGCCCACAGAGTGTCATCTCAAGCCTTCCAGAGACACAGCGCGGCCTGTCCTTGGACTGTTGTCCTGTTGGGAAGGCGTCCTCGAGCCTGTAAGGACCCAGGGAGTGGAAAGCTCAGAGCGTCTTCAGCAAATGATGGTGAAATGCAGTCAATGGAAATCATTTAAGTTGAGGTCTGCCATGGAAAAGACACAGAAAGACTAAATACAATGCAAGATCATCAATACACAACAGGATATAAATGTTATTATGCCCTTTGTCAACTTGAAATGTATCTAACTAACAAAATTCAGGTTTAGGACATGGGGTGGGTCAAAGTGGAAATGCACCAGTTTCCTCATGTTGATAGGTGAGAGCTGATTGTTACTCTCTAAAAATAAAACATGGAGTTAAAAATGTAAGTGTCTCTTGTATATTAATATTTATCTGAAGTTCTACAATTACTTTATCACCCTACAATTAACTATGAACTTAAACATAATGGCCCATATCTTACAAGTATCATGCATGGTATGACACCCTTTTATAAATGTCTGTAGATGTGTATATATGCATTGAGATGTCTGGAATTACATCATCTAACGTTAATACTGTCTCTTTCCAGATGGTGTGATGTTTAACTTTCTCCTTTTCTCCTTTCAGCGTTGCTTGAAATTTTTGTAATAGGCATGCATCATCATTATTCTAAAAAAATATTTCTAAAGGAACAAGGGAAGAGAAAGAATCAAGGGAGGTCAGTGGCAGCCTTAAGCCAGACAGCCCAGGTCTGAAGTTGTCATTTCAAGTTCATCCTTCTGTTTGCTCAGGACAGCGCTCATCCCAGAACTCAGAGCCACCAGCAACCTGCCTCCGAGGCCGCTACACCCTCAAATCCGCAAAGCGCGGAGGTGGGTCCCCGAGGAAGGAGGCCAGGGTGGACTGCACCGTGGAAGACACCAGAGATGACGAAGGTCGCTGCGGGAGTGGGTAGCCTTGCTCTTGGAGCATCTGCTCAAACTGACCTCGGAGGAAAGTGGCAGGAAGAATGGGGCAGACGTGCTACCTCCCCTCTCAGTTCCTTCAGCCCCTATGTTAGCCTGCATCCCACTACCTTGTATATGATACAGCTTCCCCATCTTTGTTTAGGATCTTATTTAAGAAAAGGCAGCTTTCTGGATTCTGTTTTGAAGGGTCCTTCCCTCTCCAAAGTCAGTGATAATCCTACAGGTGGCCAATCCTGCCTTTAGGAGGAAGGCGTGGGGGTCCGGTTCATAGGCCTCTTGCCCGCACTCCTCGCACCATTTCAGTGAGAGAAACAAGCAATGCTGATAGACGCCACTAGGAGGCAGCTTCTCCGCCACCTACTTGTAGGCGCTTCTGCCCATCCCATTCCCCGCACACCTCCTGGATTTACAATTTTTATACTCTCCTGAGATTTTACACTTGTAGTAACACTTCATCAATCTAGCATACATGGAAATATGATGATTCCATAGTGATGTCCTATGTAACAGACACTTTCTGCTTTAAGCCCCTAAACTTACAAAAATTGTTTTTTTTAAAATACCAAATAGTATTGAATTCCTTATGGTATATGCAAAGAAATTCCTATTACCCTTCATTCTGACCTTAACCTCTAATATTAACCATTAATGGTTAATGCACCGTTAATATGACTGGCTGAACAATTAACACAAAACCAGAAACAAACAAAAAAGAAAACAAAAAAAACCCCTACTCACCCCCATTCCTGGGAAAATAAAGTTCAGCTTCTCTCTCTGGTACCCAGAGAGACATAGTTGGGGAAAGTCACTAATATCAGCTCTGTGCTATTTATCACGTGTATCTGATGATAAATCTTTCCTTTATACATAATTTATCATTATTCATGCTTTATTTGACATTTTGCACGTAGAGAAGATTAATTCATTCTTTTAGCAAACATCTATTGAGTGCTTACAAATAGAAGGCACTGCAATAGTGAATACGATCCTCATAAACTTATTATGGTCTTATAGGGGGAGAAACATCAACAGGCCATGAGCATTCTTAACAATTTGCCAGGCAAATGAGAAATGGTTGCATTTTCTAAACTTCTGCTTCCAGAGTCTTAGACCCAGAAACTGTTCCTTGAATACATTATGTTCAATGCTAGTTGGATGTGATGTGATTTTTTTTTAAATGTGTTTTGAATGCTTCTGTTTAGAAATATGCTGGGAGCATGTGAATAATTGTTTTATATTATTTATATTTTTCCTTGGCAAAATACATTTTTAAAAATAGTGAGTGCTGTGTTTTACCATATGGCCTTTTAGAGCTTTTGTTACTATTCGTGTTCACTGCTGTTCAGTTTATTTTTAAATGGATTTTCCATTGAAAGCTTAAGCTGATGTCTAAGGAAATTAATGCATGAAGTTAGGGTCAGAGAGCATGAATTATTCATTGAGTTCTCACACTGCTGTTTATGGCTAAGTCATTATAATATATCATAGTTGCCATGAAGAATGTTAAATTTTTTTAATGAAAAATTATTACTCTTTTTAAAGAGCCTTTTATATTGTATATGAATAAATGTGTTTATATAAATAAATGATCCATTACCAGGACTAAAGATTGTTACTTAAAGAATAAATGTTGGTATCTTAACTTTAAACAAGACATAATCTTTTTCTTTAATGAACTCAGACTGGTGCACATATAGTTTCCTAAGAAATAAAATACTTTTAAAGCTTTTATCTTCTTTAAATGCTGAATTTGAGTTAAATATATTTATTTTAGTACACTATAATTAATTCTGAGTTGTGTATCCCCTAGAATTACACATGAACACTCAGTGAAGAAAAATACCAAAGTTGATCTGCAAGAGAAACATTACTACTGTTTTTTTAGGTATTTCCCTTTCTGTTTTAACTGAACTATTTTATTTTGAATTAGTATATCTTATGCTGTGCATTCATTTCTAAGGCGTCTCTCTTAAAATGGAGGTTCTGGGCTATGAAACCAACACACTTAGCCTAAAACGGAGAACTCCTGGTAACCAGCCTAGCCTTGCAAGATGTGTCCCCAGACCACGCTCCTCAAGTCCCTCCTCTCTTCCCCGACCTCCCTCCCTGGCCTCTCTCGGCACCCCACGCCCATTCCTGCCTCTGGCCCTTTGCCTTTGCTCTCCCTCCACCTGCTGGGCCCTCCCCAGATTCCACAAGGAGGCCACGCTGGGCATTCAGGGCTTGGTTCAGATGCTACCGCGGAAGACATTTCCTTGTATTTTCTTTGTGACACCTCACTGTTCAGAACTAGCTCCTGGGTATACTTGTGAGCTCACAAATGGTGTGCAAGCTAACTGTTATCTGTCCTGCACAGATGCAGCGCTCATGAGACTAGGCCCTGGATTTCACCTCCTTGGTCCCTGTGCCCCCATCACCAGGACCGAGAAGCGGCTGGACGCAGAGGAAGGTGTCATTAAACACTTCAGCGTGAGTGAGGCAGGTTCACCCAGGGCAGGGCTGGCCAGGTTTTGGCAAGAGCCAGATAATAAGTATTTCCAGCTTCGTGGGGCATTTTCTTTGGTTTTCTCCCTCCCTCCCTCCTTCCCTCCATTTCTTCCTTTCTTTTCTCCCTGCTTAAGAAATGTAAAAACTCACTCAGGCCGACTTTACAGAGAGGCCACTGAATGGGTCCTGCCAGTGGCTGGGTTTTGCCCATGGGTCACAGGCCCTGGTGTGCAGACCCCTGAGCTGCGTGGCTCATTGTTACGCAGTGGGCTGCTCCCGAAGACCCCCGAGTCAGACTTGTTAGAGGCGGAGCCCAGCAATCTGTATTTTCTCCAAAGATTTCAACTGAGTCTTAGCCACTGGCAAATTGAGAATGAGGGGTTTGAAGAAAATAAGTTTGGTAAGGATCCTAGGAAAGAAAATACTAAACTCCACTAAGCCATAAGTGTTCAGTAAAATGTTAAATAATGGCTTGGTGTTGCAAAAATTACTCAATGAATTTACCTTCTGTCTCCATATCTAGTGAGGAGCAGCCCTTTATCTACTTTTCTTAGATGCCAGAAGTGGCATTTGTCTATTCTATTCCATTATAGAAGTGATAACAAATTTTACACATAAATGTAAGCAAAAAAATCCAATGATTCATCCCACATCCATTTCAGACTTTGTAGCTGGTTACAAGGTCCAACTCTTTGTTGAGTAGAAACCCAGATTCAAGCACAGGCTTGAAAACATTTTTCCTTCTATAGATTTTGGTGTCAAACTGATTTATTATTTACCAGATGCTAGAAGCAGAGTGAAACATAGAAAGAAAAATAATTAGAAATAACTATTGCATCTATGTTTAATCATTCAGTTGTAGTCAAGCCTGGGCTGTTTTCTCATGATCTGACTTTGAACATGTCTAGTCCAAAGCTTTGTGATTAACTAACATATCATTTTATTATTTATTTTTATGCTTTTATTTATTAGTAGTGTTTCTACCTTTCTTACTTCTCATGCTCATTCTCAGCACTGCCTGTGTCCCGGGCGCTGCAGAGGTGCTGCCTGTCACCCTCACTCGCAGACCAGAGGACGAGGCTGAAGGGGGGGTAGGACGCCAACCCGGGCTGCACCCCTGGCCTTTATTGGGGCCAGTCTGAAATATGCCAACAAGAGGGGGAAAAGGAGAGAAACAAAGGGTCTGAGGAAAGGAGGGAAGACAGTCGGCAAGCGGCGACGGGCTGGGCCCCCCCTTGCCGACGGGCTGGGCCCCCCCCGCTTGGTGAGACTTCTCGCGCGGTACGGCCGAGGGCGGACGGCGCTTCTCCCCAGCTCCCCAGGGCCGCTTCCGTCCCATGCCGACTTCTCTGTGCCAAGTGAGAGTGGCGATGCTGCCTCGTCAGGGCTACATCTTGCCGGTTTCCCTCAATTTTTTGTGTATTTTGAAGAAAAAGAAAATCAAAACAAAAAGGAAATCGTGATAGTAAGTATCATTACCCAAGTCATACTAAAGTATCCATTCCAGGTAATTTTTACCCTGGAAAATTACCAACGAAAGGTCAGGTAGCTAATAATCTAGGCCAACAGTGTGTATTTGATTGTGGGGCACCTGGATTGAGCATTTTCCCCTCAAGGGGAATTTTTTTCAGAAAACCCATCACTTTGTAATAAATTCCAAAACATGGAGTCATGATATGCTAAAAGGCCAGAATACAACGTGGAGAATTGATTAAAATGTGGAGAGTCACGTACATGCTGACGGCCCTGCACGCACATGCACACACACAAACACACCCAGATTGCTCTCCAGAAAACGTTTTCAAGTGTTTATTGCTCTGTTACCATATAAACACATAGAAGCATATTTCTATGGTTATGTCAATGCTTTAAAAAGCTATTATGTGATATTCAATGCCAATTTTCTAAAACCATGAGGTACTTATTATAAGATATAAATTATGTTAAATAATTTAAGTTCTCAACCTCTGAAATTTGTTTACTTCAATTAGGAAGAACTTTTTTATGACAAAGAGGTGATGGCATACACTCAATATCCCATGGCCTACAGTCAAGTGAAAGCACTTTGGCATGTAATAATCTCAAAAGCAAAGACATACATGGACACATTTCTACTTTCTTAAAAGCAATACACATTGAACATTTTCCTCAGGATCTATATGTATCCATTTGCAAAACACAATGTGATAGCATGACAATTTTTTGTGGGTGTACCTGTGATCAAAAGCCGGCAAAGCAGACAAGGATAGAGGTGACAGGGCGGTGCCGATCACTGGGCGGCTGTGCCATGCAGTGGCTTGAAAAGGAAGCAGTGACCATGGATTTTCTTGGTGGGGAACAGGGATTACTAAGAAAAAAGAAAATTAGAGAATTCAAAAATAATTTCACAGCAGCTATTCTTATTTTCATTCTTATTACTATTATTATAATAGTAATAATAATATAATAGTAATACAAGTACAAATTTAAAGTAATATCTTCATAGGAAAATGATAATTTATAACTCTAAAATGATTTACAACAACCATACTTGTATTTCTAATACTACAATAGACTATAAATCCTGAAATTTTTCCCCATAAAATCTTCAAAATATTGACATATTCTTTTCAAACAGATAGCCAAGCTCATAAGAAAGTACACAGAGTCTTCAGAAGACAAAAATGAAGGGAGTGCCAGGGCACCGCGGTTGAAGAAGTGTCCAAAGCCAGAGCGTGCCTGGACGTCACGGACGTTGCTGATCCCCGGGCAGCCGTAAGTCTTCGTGGAGCACACAGCCAAGCAGCCAGGGGGACTTAGAGGCCGGGCGTCCAGTAAGAGATCCTCTACGTGCAGTAGAGTCCCCACAGGGCTGCTACCTCAGGAAAAGGAGAAAACTAGGGGGAGACTGTCCCCAAGGGGTCCAAGGGAGCCCGTCTGGCAAAGCTGGGCTCCCAGCTGGGGTGGGCATGCAGTGGATATTAAGTAAAAAGCTCGAGCCAGAAGCTGGCTTTCATGGAGGACCGGGGTTAAAATGTACAGTGACTCCAAGGTACAATAAACCTCCACAAACCTTTAACTGATAAATTAGTTTAGGGTCCTCTAGTCAGCATAGCAAGGTACCTAACAGATAAAAAGTGGTGATAGAAAGCATCTTCAACTCAGATCCCATTGATTTCTTACAGTTACATTTCCAATAAACATGAGATCAAACACAAAAATACACACACTGAGACAAAGTTACCCAGATTAAAAGTAAGCAGAGACAGTAAAGAGAAGACTAAGATTTTCAAGGACTTAAGAAATCGGAGTTGTTCTTTAAATGTAAAAATAGCATGCTGGTATGTTTACAGAGATAAAGGAGGGAATTGAAAAAAAACACAGCTAAGGAATAAAAGACTATCAAATGGTTAGACAAATGTAAAAAAAAACAAAACAAGGAACTTGTGTAAATGTGAAATATAATAAAAACATAAAAGAACTCAGTGGAAGAGGTAAACTGCGGATTGGAAACTGCTTAAGGTATTGAAGACATTGGAAGACAACTCTGAAAAGAATTACACAGAATGTATCAAGGAGAACATAAAAATTTGAAAGAAATAAACAAAGTGAGAAGCTCTAACATACATTTAACCAAAATTCCTAAAGGAGATATTAGAATTTTTCCAAAAGTGATAAAAGACACATTTTTCAGATTTAAAAGTACATCTTAACCAATATAAATAAAATCCACACCTAGCCATTTTATGGTGGAATTGCAGAACAAATGCAAATAGGCATTCAAGGCATCAGGAGAGGAAAGGCGAATTACAGAGTTAAACAACCAGCTTCTCAAAATATAAAAATGGAGGCCAGAAGAGAATAAAGTAACAAATTTAAACGATTTAGAAAAAAATATGTTGACACATTATTATATGCCTAGCAAATGAGAATGAAAAAAAGATACCTCTAGATAATCTAAAAGGAGAGTTTATCCCCAAACAATCTCCATCAAAAGAAATTTTAAAATATGTCCTGTAAGAAGAAAAATAATTCCAGGGGAAGGTTGGAAATGCAAGAAGAAATAAATGAGGAAAGAAAAAGACAAACATATAGATAATTCTAAATAAGCACTGGCTACATAAAACAATAATGACAGTGTCTAAGTAGGGGGTTAAAAAATGGAATTAAAATACTGTCAACAATCAGCATACCAGCTGGTGCAGAAGGGCTGGGTAGTTTCAGGAGTTAGAGATACAGAGCTTTGTATGACTCAGGTGAAGAGCAAAAAGATTAAGTTCAGGCTTGAGCAAGTAAGTTAAAATTTCAAAGTAATCACTAACCTAAAAAATAATTGAGATAGAATTTATAAATTCTGAATCAACTAAAGTTAAATGTTAGCATAAGAAAGAAAAAATCTTAATGGGAAGGAAGGGAATCCAGAGAGGGTAAGAAGTAACTCAGGAAGGAAGTGCAAAAAAAAGTAAAGATAGTATAATGACAATAAGTTCTAATATATTAATGGTCATTAAATCTGAATGGATAAAATTCATCATGTAGAAGTTAATCAGACTGTATTGAAATAAACACCCAATGAGATACTTTTTTAGAAGAGACAAAAACAAACATTGAAAAAAATGGAAAAAAAAAGGTAACTAGTAAAAACACTAACTCAAAATAAACTGCCCTAAATAATAATTATCAAAGATTTTTTTAGCCAGGAAGCATTACTACAGATAAGTGAGACTCCAGTAACGATGAGGTTCATTTGCCAATATAACAGAACAAGTCTAAATGTTTTATCTAATAATGGAGGTTTCAAAGAAGGTCCATACCTCATATTTTTTTAATATAACTCTTAAATTTTGTTTATTAAAAATTTTAAGAACTGTGTCAAAGACGCCAAAAAAAGTTAAACTGCCAACTGGAAGAAGATGCTCTTCCACTGTATAACTAACAGAATATTAATGCCCAAACTACATTAAAAATTTTACAAATCAATAAGAAAAAGAAAAACAACCAAAGTGGAAAAGTGCATAAAAGTGATGAAAATTCATTTTACTGAAGAGGAAATGCAGAGAGACTGCAAGCATGTGAATACATGTCCAGTCTCATTAGTAATTAGGGAAATGTAAAGGGAAAACACGATACATAATTGTGCACTGACGGTAACAGTTTGAAAAGGCTGTAGAGGAGCGGGAATTTTTCATAAACTGCTGGTGAACTACAGACCCTTCAGAGAACAATTCGCCATTTTGAAGATATACACACCCTGTAATGCAGCAGTTCTTACACATCTGCTCCAGTGTACCAGGAGACAACTTTCTAAGCCAACGAGTAACTGCTATAGAAAGCAGTCGCAAAGACAGATGGCAAGAGGGGCCGAGGAATTCAGAGGACACGGAGGACGAGTCAGAGGTGGAGGGGGGGCAGAGGAGGGCATGGAGTCTGGCAGCGAGGGGATGAGGTTCGGCCTGGCAGGCCCAACGAGGAGATGTTACCGGCTGTGAGGGCTGTGAGGCAGGGAGGAGGTCCATGGGCTGAGGCGCAGGGGTGTTCATAGCAGCTTTATTCATAGTTGTCAAGACTTGGAAGCCACCAGGATGTACTTAGGTAGGTGGTCATACACATAAACTGTAGCACCCGGACAACGGAGTGTTATTCATCTCTATAAAGAAATGAGCTACCAAACCATGAAACACACGGAGGAAACTTACATGCATGTTACTAAGCAGAAGAAGCCAATCTGAAAAGACTACACACTGTATGATTCCAACTGTGTGACATTCTAGAAAAGGTGAACTATGGGGAGCAGTAGAATGATCATTGGTGACCATGGACTGGAGAGGACACTGGGGTGAACAGGTGGAGCACAGAGCAGGTTTTGGGAGGTGAAACGGCTCGGTAAGGTGCTAGATTGGGGGATACAGGCCATTATGTATTTGTCCAAACCCATAGAAGGTGTAACACCAGTGGTGAGCCCCAGTGTGAACTATGGACCTGGGGATGATGATGTGCCAGCGTAGGTTCCGCACTTGTACGAACTGACCGACCTGGTGGGGGGGATGTCAGGACGGGTAAAGGCTGCATGCCTGTGGGCAGAGTACTTGGTTATCTCTATGTCTCCCTCATTTTGCTGTGAACCTATAACTACTCTTAAAAAAATTGTCTTTAAAAAAGTTTTCAATCAAAAACCAAGATCCTTATTAATTGTAGTTCCATAATAATGAAACTTTAGAAAAACTGACCACTGGAGTTTATTCATATGGTTAAAAAAATTCATGTTATCTTTTCTAATGTTTATCACCAGTTGAAAGAAGAAAAAGATAATGTTCTCATTTTAAGAACTTATTTTATATGGTCTTGCAGTAAATTAAGAATAAAGCTTCCATATAATCAACTCCATACCTTTTAAAATATGTAATATCTGTTAATATTATCAAATGAAGCTTATAAAAAATAACAGTCAGAGGGCTAATATCTTGTAGCACCAGTTACTTTAAGTCTCCTGACCCAAGGTTGACTCCTTTATTACTGACAGCATCACACTCGTTAACTGCTCACATTTTGAAAGGACACACGTGTAGAGGTGAGAGAGGAAGGGAAGTTACCTAGTAAGCTACCTAGTAAGTTACCTAGTAAATTACCTAGTAAGTTACCTAGTAAGCTTATCAGCCAAACCAAGATCCCTCATCCATGCAGCAACCCCGATGCCATGGTCCACCACCCTCACAACCCATGAACTGATGATTCAGATTACATTTTTATTCCTCTACTTGGTGAGTCTTCGACTAAACAGCAATCCTAGAATAGTATGTATTTACCTACAAAAATCTGCCAGTGACAATGAAACAATCCTACAACCCTAAAAATTAAATTTCTCATTGAGGAGAAAGCATCCGTGGAAAATGCAAATCTCACCATCCTTTGAAATCTCTCATATTATTCCTGAATGTAAAATGCTCACTGGATTAGCTAGAGAATATTTTTAAATGTTTACAGAGTTACCTCAACCACATTGAATTAATACTGATATTTCTAGCTATTAAAGTATTTAAGTTAGAAAATCATTGTGGTTGACAGCTTGAAATTTAAAGAAGCTTAAAAGGAAATTAGTATGTGTTCTCAGTATGCTTATTTTATAGTTCTCATGGTTATATCTAAAATTTGTATGTTCTTTCTCTCAAAATTCACATAAACTCCAGAAATTTAGAGATTCTATTCATAAAGTCTAGTTTTACCTAATTTATATTTATAGTATAATATACTTTGCTTATATTTTTAATATTTTTATGTACAATAAATGTCTATTATATATTCTGTTATCAATTTTTGTTGCAGATAAAATGATGCAAATATGGAAGTCTCATTAATATAAAGATCTTTAGTCCTGTCCAGTCTTCTGACACATTTTTTAAAAAAATTAAAAGAACTAAGAGGAACAGCAAAATTTAGCTAGGTTCACCCAGATTACTGGAAACTGTTCCTGGCATAGCAATTAAAACTGATGTTTGTGGCGGCCAGAAATAATGGAGGTTTGGATTTATGACGAGGAACTAGGAGTTAGGCCACTGTTTTATTTTTAAAGGTGAAAGATTTATAGTCAGTAAGGTTTGAACTGATGTAGCCCATTCATTCCAGAAATGTGGGGGTGAAGGAATGAGAGTCCAAAGCCAAAAAATGTTATTGTGTCCAGGTGGAAGTGGGACAAGAAAAAGGAAGCAGCGAATGGGCCATGTGTGTGGATGTATAAAACCTCTGCTCTTCCGTGACAAAATCAGAAAACTTAAGAAACTTACGTATTTCTGTTACTATATTCTTCATCCTTATTTTCCCTAGTACATCGCACATCAAGGTGCTCATCTTTATTCATCTCTAGCAAATTCTCAATTCCCCCAGGATGCCAATTTACATTAAAAATAATGTTCAGAAAAAAACTGGTCCCTGCTGCTTCTCATTTTTCTCCTCGTTTTGTGACCATTCTTCCGACATTTTTATTTGTAGCCCAATTTCTATCCTAATAACTCTTCCTTTCCTCTGCGGAGAAACACCGACCACACAGCTGCAATAGTTATTATTTAATTATTTTCTTTTTCTCATAGGTTTCCAAACTTTTGCTATTAGTTTCCTTTGCATTGAGGCAAATGGATTTAAGTTATTTTCCAGTGGCTTGAAAATATCAGCGACTATTTTCTCCACCTGCCTCAAAGCTGCCTGTGTTTTCTGGGTGGCGACAATTATGGCTGCCATGCATTTGGAATGAAGGGACCTGAGGACACGGAACCGTGTCCTACATACCACTGTTCTAGAAAAAAGTCTCCTCTTTATTTTTACCTTTTTTGTGTATTCAAATGATATGAGTATAAAATCCCTGTTAAAACAGGCACAGTTTTATTTCTTTATGAAATACTAATAGAATTCACACAGGTTAACTTACATTGACACAGATCACTGGCTAGCATTTGTGAACTAGCAGACGGAAATGCTCTACGAACTGATACCTTATTTCTTCAGCAAAAGGTTGATGCAAGATTTCAAAGAAATCCAAAGTCTTCCTTTAAAATTGAATACAAGTTTATATTGTTATTTATAAAATTCTCCCTGCTGCCTTTTAAGTTAATTATTTTTAACCAGACTTCAAGTGAATCATATGTATGTACGTATGTATGTAATACAGATACACATGTAAATATAATGTGCTTTTCTCTGACGGCATTTTCTTCTTTGTGAGATTCCCTCTCATCAATTACGCGTTTCCTTCCCAGACAGAAAGCTCAGCTCAGCCCCGCGAGAAGAGAAGGAATCAGGCGCTCCCTCCTCGTGATTGACAGCTTCGGGCACTAAGGCAGATCTAGTCCTGACACCGGATGCTCCTTTGTAGAGCGGCCTGGGTGCAAGGACTCCTGCGGGCTTTGCCCAACCTTGCTCGCCCTGTGTAGCAATCTGCGATGTCTCACTCACCGTCTGTGGCTTCTCCTTCACTTGGGGTCAGTTTGCTTCTTGGCTTACATTTTTCCCAACCTTTTTGAGCTTCCTTCCTATTTCCTTTTATAGGGTCTTTTCCCCTAGTAAAAATCTCTGCATGTTTAATTATATCTCAGTGGTCACTTCTCAGAGGACCCAGACAAACCCAGGCGTCTCCATGGGTGCATCTGCCAAGCATGAGTCCGTGACTCTATGCCCCAGCAGCTGCGTCCGGAGAGCCTAAGGTGGACCTGCTCTGTGTGGCGCGGGTGGTGGGACACACCCACACCCGTCGGTCTGATCTCCTAGAGCTGTACATCATTAAGAATGGATTTTACTGTACACAATAAAAAAAATCAATCAGACTATCGGGGATTCTGGGATGCAGTGCATGCAGGCCGTGACAAGTGAATCTAACGGCATCATGAATGTACGGTATTGCCTCCCTGAAGGGATGTGGGGAAAAGGAGCTGATAAGTAACTTTGGATAAAGGTGTTTTGGCTGGAAACTAAGGATAAAAACAAAAGGAAATGAATATAAACACTATGCTGTAAATGCCAAGTTTGTCTCTCACTCGGGTTTGTGTTAGCAATTCTGAACCTGCTTTACAAGCACATGTGGTTGAACCAAAGTGGATAGCGGCAGCCAGGGGTCTCAGTGTTGGCGAGGAAAGTAACAGGTGAGCAAGGGGGAGGGGAGAGTAGGCCGAACCCTGTGGAACCGAATTGGAGTGGGTACTTTAATATGAATGCTGTTTAACTTAATATGTATAGACAGAGAGATACAAAAACAATATAGACATGGTGGACATGTGGGTACATTTATGTACATATATATATTTCCTATATTTCCTTGCTCCGCCCACTGAAAAGCTTAGGTGGTGATACCACAGCAGCAATAAGCACACAAGGCACTACAATCTTGATTTCTAAATACCCATCCCAATAAAAAGAAGCAGAGCTCCTTGTGGAAACGGCTGCCTCTAAAGCTGGCTGGGGGCCTGTATGACCAGCCTGGAGCTTCATCTCCTAGTGCCTGTAAGGAAGGAAGCCTTCAAAAACCAGAATGATGGGCTCATGAGAAAGAGGCGCAGAAACCAAGTGGAAAGAGCTGCTGGTGGCCAAAGCTGGAAGAAATCAAGAGCAGCACCGTGGTTCCAAATCACATTCCAGTCACACGGCAAATATGCACGAATCCACACTGACATAAATAAATGACTGAGTACGTAAATAAGTGGGAGAGCGGGGACCAGTCTTCTTTGTGGATGAATTCTAAATAATAAAAGCAGATACTCATCCCTCCAGGAGGGGGGACTTAACCTCAAGGGTGGGCTAGACTTACTGATTTGGGTCCAGAGATTAGCAAATGGGAGGCTGAGGCCTGCCTCAGAACGGCCCTTGGCAGAAACAGGCTGCTTGCCCCACAGACGGGGGTTATGACCACCCTCCACCCACCCTCATCCAGGACTGGTTGATGCAGGGGGTGGACTGGAAGACCACGACCCGCCCTCTTGCCTCAGGAGGGGGACACTGAGGGTCATGCCAGCTCCAGAGCCCCTGTGGTACTTTCTGGAAGCTCTCTCGCACCTGTGTCCAAGTCCCACGTCTCCCTCCGTTCAGTGCTGCTTCGTTCTTTTCTGTGGGCATGTCATTCCGGACAGGCGTCCCCAGGAAAACTGCACACGGATTCCCATCCCGACGTGAGCTCTTCGGCACTTGCCCTAAGACCCTCGGAGGTTTGAAAGAGAAGAGGCGAGAGGAAGGTAGGAGGTAGGGCTCCGGTGAAGGGGGAAGTGCAAGATGACGAACTAGATACAGTGATGAAATGGGATGAAACCTGGAAAGCTGAACGATGAGCAGATTTTACTGGTCTGCAGGGTAGGGTACAGGGCAACAAGTGGCAGGAGAGGGGCACATGTTGGAGAGTGGGGAGGGCTTGGAAGGCTGCAGCGGGCGCCAATCGGGAACACAGAGGGGCCCTGCCCCAGCACAGTCCCCGGGGGGCCTTGAGGGGTCCCCAAGCGTGGCCGTGCCCCTCCTCAGCTCACCTCGGCTCTCAGGCCCTGGGGTCACTGCCCCTGCCATAGTCTGAGGGTCACTTTGGCCACCCCAGACGCCTTCACAGCTGAATAGTCTTAGTTTCAGCTTAGCAGGAATATAAACACACAGCAAGTTTCATCATTTCTCACATCCTGTGGGATTAAAACTGACTCAGGAAAAAAATACAGAATTCTTTATCCTATGGGAGAAGAAAGGAAAAATTAAGAAAATGCTGGGAAGTATATGAAGAATTTAGTTACCCTGTTGCATAAATTGAGTTCATGGCTGCAAGCAGGAAATGAACGTAATAGAAAACACGACTAGATTTCGTTCAGGCTCATGTGCCCACGGGGACGCGGGCTTGGCTGAGAACCCTCGCGGGCAGCTGCGGGGCCCTGGGCAGACGCGAGCCGCGGATTGCTGCAAATCAGGACAGAGGGGCCACCATCAAACGGGACCAGGGACGCTGGGAGTATGGTGACAGGCCAAGGGGTGCAAACAGAGAGGAATCAGTGTTGGGACTGGAGAAACGGTCCAGGTAAGACGGGCAGCCCCCATGCCGGAGCCCCAGGCTGTGTAGGCGAGTCGCCCTGTCACCCCGACCTGACTGCAAATTCAAGCCGTGCTTTTCCCATGAGTGGGTATTTCCACCCACAGGGAAGAAATATCAAAAGAAAACTATTCTATTTCTGTGTTGCGTTCCATCTAATTATTAAAGATTATGATTATATTAGAGAAAGAAAGTACTCTAAAAATACCATCTCCTGAAATAAACTCATTTCTTAATTGATCTCTGGAGAAAAGAGCTCAACCTGTAAGCAAAAATCAAGAATTTCCTGATTCCTCATATTGAAAACTGACCCAGAGATCAAAAAGGAAATCGAGAAGGAAATTTTGACAGTCCTAGAATTCTCAAGACTGTTCAAGAAACAGACATAATTTCGCCTATTACAGAGATTTTCCTTTGGAATGCATTTTTCTACATACTAAGACATTCTTTTGTGTGTGGGAGGGGCAAGGGAAGGTGGGAGTGATGTGGGCAAATTTCTTAAAATGGAAGAAAAGGATTTCAACGTCTGTGGTTTACTTCTTCCTCCTCTTTGTTTCTGTTAATCAAACTGTGCTTTTAATAAAATAAGTTACAAAATCATTGACGTTTTGAAAGGTCATCTATTTCTGTCCCCTGCAGGAACTCGTTCCAAAGCCAATCCTTAGGCTGTATTTGTCAGTACCGACCCATCATCTACATTAAGACTTTGGCAATAAAAAGCCTGACAAATTGTTTAAATTTGCATATACACATAGAAGTTGATTTTAGATATTCCTGTAGGCACTATACTTTATTTATTCATTTTTCTCATCAGAAATTAGAACAATATTAACCAGAATGCATATAAAATATGAACAGTGGAAAAAATATAACCGATTCTATGCTGGGTCTTTCAGGATGTTTTAAATTAAATTTAACTGATCTGTTTTTGTAAACAACCCTTTTAATTTTCCTTTGCAAATATGTATGACTCATACAAATTTTACTTACTTTTTTCAACTACACCAAATGTTTTTAGAATAATAAATGATTCATATAAGAGATACCCGTTTCCAAGCATGAAAAACAATTTCTAAAATATGTACCCACTTCTTCATGGAATTTCTTTTTACTTGAATTGAATTGGCTTTTCCTTCTTCTACTTCCATCCATGTTACATTTCATCATATGTACAATTCTTGTATGAGAAAATATTTTTCTATAATTAAGCAAATATGAATCAGCTCATCACATATAACTTTCCTGAATTTAAAATTAGGAACAGGAGATACTAAAATTTGACTGGATCATAAAATGCTCCAAATTATCTTGCTTTTTTGACTAGTTACTCTAAATTGGATTTAATTTTTAAACACACCATGATTCCCAAATTTTTTTTACTACTCCCATTTGGAAATATACCGAAGTCTGAAATTTAGTGTTTCAGACAATCTCACATCTAAAATTGTATTTTAGAAGGGCCAGAGGAAGGTGGCAGAATAAAGTGCTGTGGAGTTAAGAACATGACCCAGTGCTTTTTGGTTTACTGGAGGGCCCCTCCTCCATAGCTGTTAAAGTTCAGTTTTCACTGGAGGGGTCCTGTACCATTTCTGCCACCAGACATTGTAAAACTGTTATTTTTTGTTCAAATTCCTTTTCTCTGTGTCCAAGAGAGAAATATCTAGTTGTTGCAAAGACATCTGTATTTAACAGAGGAAAAGAGGTAAGCCATAGGACTAAATCTGTAATGTGGGGACTTCAGACAGGGAGCCTTCCTAGAAAAGGCAGTGAGTGATGTGGTAGAAAGAGCTCAGCGTCAAGACAGGCCTCCCATACATCCCAGGGCTTCCACTAGGACGGGTTTTCAGCCATTTCTGAGGCTTGATTTCCTTACCTGTGAAAAAGACTTAATAGCTAATTACGTGGTTATTTTGACTATCGAATGAAACGATGACGGCGAAGCCTGAAGCAGGTGTTCAGCGGTGATCTCCAGTGAGTCTACTTGGAAGCCACCTTCCCACCCTTACAGTGGGCGGAGCTCTGGCAGAGCCTTGCTCTGGCTGAAGGGTCAAATGTGCGCAACTCAAAAGTAGCCTGTACATTCCTGGACAGTTATAAGGGAAATGAAGGAGAAAAGTCAGACAGTTTCCACAAATATATTACATGATGATTAACTTAATCCTGAGAATTATCTTACAAGATCAGTACTATTTTAGCCCCTATTTTCTCAGCATAGGGTATCTAAGTCACATGTTTGACCTAGGATGGTCAATAAGAAGGTGGAAACTGAATTTAAAGCCAGAGAGTCTAGCCATTTTTTTTAAGAAGCACTATTTATTTTAATAAGAAATGGGATTTAGTGTCCATAATTAAAATGATTTGTATTTGATAAGCTCCTTTATCCTTGGGCATATCCCATTAAAAGTGTAGAGTCAACTTACTGCATTTTAAAGTCACTTTGAATATTATTCTTTCATGTGGTTTTACACTGTCTGAATACGTATTTAGGTTCATTTAAAATTTTTTCTTAGGGATTATTATTTATTAATTTATAATTATATAAAATATTTCCAAATCAAGAAAAGCTATATTTTAAAAACTCTGGCCTTTATCTTTTTTCCCTTCAGCCTATTCTACTTCACCTCTTATAACTCATATTTTTGAAAATTTATTTTTTAAAAGCAATATTTTATTTACTTTTAAAACCTAAGTTGTTATTATTTTGATATTTAAATAAATATAAACTAATGTAGAAGTAGTTCCTATAATGTGATTTATTGTGGGAGTTCATCTTTCCATCATGACATTCAGATGCAGTTATGTATCTATCTAAAATTCACTAGGCTATAAATAAACTAAAACTCAGAGTTCATTCTCATTAACTGACCCAAAATTCATAGATCAAAAGTTAAAGAGCCTATAGATGGCACTTTCTCAAATAGTAAAGGATTTCCTTAACCACTGAGGTCTCCTCAAACATCCAGAACATAGGCTTAAAGATCACTAACTCCTCCCCTCTTAAATGACAATAAAAATAATGAAGACTTCATAGGTTGGATTTTTCACAGACTCAGTAGAGAGATAGGACATTTTAACTTCTCACTGTCTATTTTTATTTTTAATTCAAGCAGATCTCTTTCTCTCTCTTTAGCTAAACAATAGCAAACTACACAGCCCTGTTTCCAACTCGCCTTTTTTCCATTGGGTGGATGTATTAACGTTCATTCCACTCGTCCCCTACGGATAGGCCCCTGGGTTGTGTCCAGTTTGTGACAGTGTAGACAGCTCTGCTTTGAATGGCTTTATACAAACCAAATGCATATCTCTGAAATGGATCTCTAGAAGTATTTCCTAGACATCTCCAAATTTCCTATTTTGGTGTTGGTATTATTAGCATTCTCTTCCACAAGGTGGGAGTGGGGTTTTCCCACAGTTTCTTCCACAAAGTATGTTATGAAATTTTATACTTTCAATTTTTTGCTTTACGGCAAGAAATAGTATCTCAGTGAAGTTTCTCTACTTTTTTGAGTGTGGTTGAGCATCTTTTCCAAATGATTAGATGTGTATTTTGATTTTTATAAAATACTTTTACTTTTCCAATTTTCTATATTATATTCTATTGTTTTTTCCTCTATTTTTAAAAGCAAAAATATTGTAAGCTTTTCATGAAGTAATATTTTTAGTTTTTGACAAGTTTTTATTGCATGCTTTGCATGATGAACTGTACAAGGTAATAGGAAATCTGCTTGTGCTAATTTTCTTTATTTGAAGTTTCCATTCAACTCACCTTCAATGGGAAATAGAAAGGAATTTAGTTATTGATCAGTCATTATTAAAAATTCATATCTGGATAAGAAATTCAATTTCTATAAAGTAGTTTGGGATTCTTCAGTGCATTAAAAAAATAAAGTAGCTGTACTCTAGTAAACAAGCCCCGATATCTTACTGGTTTAGCATCACTGTGGTTCACTCCTCACTCACCCGCAGTCTACATGTCTATGGAGAACTGCTCCCCGCGGTGGTTCCCCTCCAAGGACCAGTCTCCTTCAATGTTGAGACACTGTTAGCTTCAACTGTGGTCCCTAAGTTTGCCACAGAAGAAGAGAAAGCACGTGAAGGTTTATGGCCAGGCCTCGAGGGAAGTACATCACTTCTGCCACATCCTATTGGACAGAACTGAGCCAAAGAAGTCCAGAAAAGTCGCCTTCCTCTATGTCTTGAAAGAGGAAACGTAGGTGTAGTCCATGGTCGCCCAGTGTTGTCTCTGCCCATCAACAGTCAGATTACAAGAAGGTTTTTGGGGGTGATTACTACTGCATTACTTCATTGGACTATCACTACTTGAAGAAGAAACGGAAAGGCATGCAACATTTAAAATTGACTGTTGTCATAGCTTCCGTACTTGACTGCATTTTCTCCCCTGTGCAGGGGTGACCCTCTAACCATTTCTCTATTCCTCAGCAGAGGGTAAAGCCCCCAGGTCTGAATGGCTATGTGCTTTATTCCGATTGGCCCTAACATCAGGCATTATGAATCTGAGTTGTCCTTGTTTTGATCACCTCTATCTATTTAGGAATATTGATGAAACCTAGCTTTACCTTTATATCAGAATTCCCATTTTGTGGAAATATATGAATCGTTTGTTCCTTGTGCACTGCTGTGTTCTTCCCAGAGTGTGTGACTGGCTTCACAAAGAGAACATTAAGAGTTACAGTGCATGACTACAGTTTCTAAATGCTCAGCCTCCTACCAGAGCAGACCCAGAGGGGCAGCCAGTGAACAGACTTTCAGCTTCCTGTTGAGGGAAACCTCCAGTACCTGGAGACGGCAGGACGGTCACCATTGCTCTCTCCTGAAATTCCTGCTTCTTAAACTCACATTTTACACATCTGTTTGTACATAATTTTTACATTACTACCAAGTTCACTAAAAGGTTCCTAAAATTTACATTGAATATTTTGTCCAGAGTAGAGATGGATCCTTATTTATGGTGCAGTAAATCAGAGAATGCTAACCCATTCTTTGCGTGTTTATTTAGCTTTTACCAAACTGAAAATGGGCCATGTGCCTCAGTATATTTTGTTGCACTGGGTGCAAACTTCTTCTCGCTCTCCGAGTGCCCTGCCCTCACGTCGATCCCAGTGACGGTCCCCATGGTCACAGTTGCCTTTCTGTTGGAACTTCCCCCACTGGAGGCAAGAGCGTAGGCCGTGTCTTTCATGCCAACACCTGGCTCCTTGCACTGACCAGTGGCTCAAAGAAGCTGATCAAAAGATGTTTGTGGGTAGGAGCAAATTAATAAATAATAAATACACTTCAAGAAAATAATGCTTCTTAATGCTTGCTTTGCTATGATGAATTCAGGACCTATTCTGAGTTGGAGAAATTAGAATTTTGTGTATTTCCAAATGACTTCCTACTCTTGAATGATGCCTTCCTAACCTTCAAGCTGACAGTAGGAAATACAGTCAAACTGTCTATAGAGAATTAGTCACTTCATTCCACTGCCTCAAATATGTAGCTTTTTGTAAAAATGTATTTTTGATGTATGTTAACTCATCTCTCCCCTCTCCCCTCTTCTGCTTTCCTCTCCGTCTGTCTGTTCTATGGGTATAAACCCGGCTGGTTCACGTGAACTCAGTTCCTCGTTAATTAATGCACCCATCATCTCACATATTTGCCTTCTTAAATTTTGAAGGACAGCTCTGCTAGAAAGAGCATTCTTGCAGCCTAGCTTTAAAGTGTGCAGACACATTTCTTTCGGGAAAGACGGACATGAGTGCTCGGCCTCTCACACCCAGTAAGGGCTGCTTCTGTGTTGGCTGCAGTGTGTAGGTCTTAGAAATGAAAGCCTTGCTGGCTTTCGGAACCAGGTATTTTGGGGGCCCATCCGTCAGGAGAGTCTTAAAAGTTGGTGTTCACATCCTTTGCTCACCAGGGAGGGGCTGGGAGTGGAGGGTTCCCTCCAGATCGTACGGGCCTGTGCCAGAGATGAGATTTATGGCCAGTGCGTGCCTCAGCTTTTCCTACCGTTTGATGAGGATCTTCTTCTCTGCCCGGGGTGTAGAGCCCCTCCGCTAGTTCCTGTGTCTCTGTCAGTGGGAACTGCTCTGTGCATAGCGCGCAGCTGGAGCGTCCGCAGGACAGGGGAGCTCAGAAGCCTCCTGCGTCTCCACCTTGGGTCTCTCGTGTTTCTCCCTGCATCGTTAGATTGGGGAGACCCGTGAACCACACGACGAGGATGTGACCTGCCAAATCCAGAATGTGGGGAACTCTAAAGGAAAGTGATTTGTTTCCTTTGACAAATAAAGTGCAAGGAAGAAAGGGGAGATCTGTAAGGAGATATATTAACCAACTGCAATAGATGGACTTTACAACACTTTCATTTGAAGCAGTTAAAAAAAAAAGATAAAATCAGAGACATGAGAACACATCATATAGTTTATATTGATTATTGATATTTTAGAAGCAATGTTTTAAAAATCCCTTATCTTTCAGAAATACATTCTCAAGTATAAAACATATAATGTTTCTCAACTTTTCTGATAATATATTTATGTATATGTGTGTATATATATATATGCATATGAAATTATATGATATAGATCTGATCTAGAATAATCTGAGTCAGGGATGATTGTTGTGATTGCAAATCAAAGTAGATTTGCCATGACTTGATCATTATTGAAGCCACTTGTTACATATTTGGGTGTCTGGTATTATTCTAAGCTGGTATATGTTTGAAATGTTCCATAGCAAAAAAACTGAAAATTTTCTAATTTAACCTTTGCCACTTACCACTCCCATGAGCATTTGCTCTTGCAGGGAAGCCCTCTTACACTGGTGATGAGCTGGGGTTGAGATTAATCCACATAATTCAGGTCTTTCTCCAGGTGGGACCAGGTGGGAAAGGGCAGAGATTGAGGAGGAGTTGGAATGACAGGCGAGTGGCACCACGTGCCCCCTGCCCTCGCCAAAGCCGGGACTCGGCCTCCTGCTTGTCCCTTCCTGCCTGGAGTCTAAAGCCCAGGCTACCTGCCCGATCTTATTCCTCAGAAAAGGAGGATAGGTCTGGCCCAAGTGGGGGGATATGCTTCCTCACGCTTACCTTAAAGTGTCATTACAGGAGGTTTGGGCACACCTGACTGTAGGAATCCGCGGAAGCCTGCGCTTTGGATATTCCCCAGCTGCAAGGGAAAAGTCAGCAATCACCTCTGGCTATGTTTCTCTCACTGTTCTGATAATAAGAATGATCTAGGAATTCTAATTAAACATGCAAGTTCATTCTCAGGTTTAGCAAATAAAAATGCAGAAATATGATTATTCATTGTTTATCTAAAGTAAAATTCAGGAATACCATTATTCATTATTCGTATGAAATTTAAGTTTAACTGGTAACCTGTATTTTGTCTGGAATCCCATCTGGGGTGGTATTCAGGAATCATATTGTTAACTTGCAGTTCAGGTAGTTTTTGTTACAATGTCGTGAGTGGAGGCTCTGAGAAGTCCCCTTTTCAGCTAAGCCTACCAATCACTTCCCCAAGGGACTTTAAATCACTCAGATCAGCTGTGTCAAGGTCACCAATCTTGTCGTCACCATTTGTGACTCCTTACCGTGTCTTGTAGTTATGATTGTGGAGGTTGTTCAGCATGTCAGAGGCATTTAGTTCTGTCCTTTGTTGATTATGACACTACACTCTTAAGAGTTGGTCTTCAAATTTTGTCTTTCATAGCCATTGTCTTAATTTTAAAATTAAAAGGAAAATCTCACAGGACATCCTGGGAGTTGTAAAAGTGGACCTTTGGAGATAGGATTTAATGGTTCTTTTTGACCTTGAATTTATGACATCATTTGAATCAAGCTGATTAATGATAAAATGTGGTGAACCTTGTCTCAGTTTTGTCCTCAGAGAATACTCAGCTCTGGAATGTGTTTCTTCTCTTGGTCCAGTGAAATATGAGCTTTACTGGCTTGAAGGATACCTTCAAGGGCCAATTGTTTACAAAAACATTTGCCTGAGGCCTTGAAAGCAGGGGTCCAGATGATAGATGACATTTTAAATTCGTTCTCTGTGTATGAATCCCAGGAGAATTAGTAATGGAAACGTTTCAAAAAGTCACACCAGTAATTAGGCACATTAGGTCATGTAAAATTAACCTTGTATACTTTACATGTTTGATGGGTCAATGATTATGATTCCCAGATTTCTAAAGTCAAGGTGTGAGAAACTAATTGCCAAAAATATAGAGATGGATTTAATAAACATAACTCAGTCCAGCTTCAATAGCCCAGAAGCCCAAAAAAATTTCAGGACTTGATTTCTCAGAACTCATACGGCCTCTGGGAGCCTTCCATCACACAGAAATGAAGCAGATTTGCTTTAAGTAATTCCAGCCTTCAATGATAAATAAAAGGAATCCTTCGCAAACATCAGAGAACTTTTCAAGTTTTTATTAGAAAAGGTCCAAATGTTCTGTAGGGTTTTTAAATTATTTTCATAGCTTTGGCGAAGGCTTAGGCTTCTCAGAGCTGATTCTCTGGGAACAGAAAAGGACGTACTGGGAGGCCTCCCCTCTCGCAAAGCCTGTGTTACAAGGAAACGCAATGTAAGACTGAGATGGTTTCCTGCTTTTGGTCTGACTAGGACTTGAAATCCATCCAAATTCCATAAGATAGGACAGAATGAACTGACCCTAAAATTCTCTTTAAACTTTTTACCTTCAGACTTCATTAAATAATGAAGTCTTTGCACGACACCTCTCCCCCAGCCAACCTCAAATGGCTTAATTGCTGCGGGAGAGAACCAGATTACTTTCTTAGAGAAATGACTCAGGGTTATTTTCTTCCTTCACCATATCCTAGAGATCTGAATTCTCCCATATGCGTTAGAACATAGGAGCTCTGAGCTGACTGATCCTAAGGCCAAATGGAATGTGACCTAGAATTCTTGTTTAGTGGTGACATGACACATTTTTGATAGAGAGTATTGTGATATCTTGGGCGAGCTTCCTAATATCATTGGGCTTCTTGGATCAATGTTTGTACTACGTAATATCTAAAATCAATTCCAGCTCTAATGTTTTTTCTCTCCTTAACAGTTTCAGAATTGCAGCCTTGGTGGCCCTCAACTTGAAAAGTTCAAGCACAGCCCTTTGCAGAAAAATATTTCAAGATAATAATGAATGAATAAAAACCACACAGAAATTAACACAGCCTGATTCCGTGATCAATAGGTATGCTGGCAAGGAGCCATAGGAAATAGTTCTTCCCGATACATCCCCAGAAGATGCACTGGGACTTCATGCAAGCAGAAGGGAGAAGTGGGCTCAGTCTTCCCTTTCCTGTGACTGTGACTAATTTTTACTGATACAGGTATCATTTCAATGTATTGCCTCTTCTAAGATCAAGTTTCTATTAGGATTTTCATTCCTTCAATGCGCAAGATTTCTGAAAGGCAGAACTCTTATGTAATAGACTAAGAACCCCCCTCTCCCCTCCCCTCCCCACTCCCATCCCCACCACCTACTAGTAGCGTGTACCTGGGAAAACCATATAAGCTATTGGAGGCACAATTCCTTCATCTCCAGCACAGCAATGGTTAATGACAACCTGTCTTCAGTGTGCATCTATGTGAGGCTCTTGATTAATAAATCTATGTGGAAACATTTATTAGCCATAAAGTAACTTACCAGTGTAGCATACTACTTTTATTGTAGCATCCAAAGAATACAGGGCATTACTTCAGAGACCAAAGAATGAAGACATTTGACCTATTGCTTTGAGGGGCAGAGAGGCAATCGGAAGCAGTGGAATGGTGCGTGACAATAATACATGCTTTGGAAAGAAGAAAAGGCATACTGGTCAAGTCAGTTTTGCAAGATACAAAAGCAACATTAACTTTCACGAGCCATGAAGTCCAGTGCGCCTTTGGAAGGGTGAGAATGTTCTAAAATGAAGGCTGTATTATTCTTTAGGTATGGAGAAGCCAACGGGCCTGATGACTGGCACTGAAGAAACAGTTTGCAATTCACAGTTCTCAAGAGGCAGGGGCATGGACATCACAGGGCCACAGAGGAAGGCAGCAGGGGTGCACGGAGGTGGTGGGAAGGAGGGGAAGCGAGGGCGGCAGCCTTCACTGCGGTGTCGGAGGGCAGGAGCTGGCGAGGCAGGGCAGGCAGGGCAGGATTGGCTAGTTGGAATGATTTCTGTTGGATTCTGGGATGTGGGGTGGCTTAGTTTTCTGGTACCTGCCCTAGGGTGGCTCGGGGAGGGGACTGTGGCCCTGATGTGAATCAGCCCAGTAGATGGTGGTGACAGGGGCTACGTAGGACAGGTGCCCTCAGCAAGCTGGTCTTTCATGACCTCTAGGAACCAGCCAGCCTGGGGAGAAGTAAGTAGTGTTTTCAAGGTGAGCAAGGCTCAGAGGCTGAAGCATCAGAAATACAGAAAATACAAAGGCAAGACTGATACAGGGAACAGCATTTGACAAAAAGACAGAAAGAAAACAGATTCTCTCACAAAAATACTAATGTTCATGGATCTGTATGAGAAAATTCAAACAAGATGTCTATCAAATAAGTAGATGGCATACCAAAAGGAAATCTTCCAGCATTTTTCTTTCACTTCACAACTACCAGTGTTCCAGTGATCCTTGCGTGGGATTTTCTGTGCATCCTCTACACCACACTCCCGATACAGATCTGATTCAGGTAGTTTAGGCCAATGTTGCAGCAAATAGCTCAAAAGAATATGGAAAATAATCAGAGAATATGAGCAAAGGAGCTCCCTCCGGCAAGGCATCTGTCCATTGGTATCTCGAAGACTGCCTTGCGTAAGTGGTGGAAGGCATGTTTCCTGAATCGTCTGGAAGTCATGTCTGAAGAGCTTTAAAGAAGATAAGATGAGTCTAGTTGGGCACGTGCCTACCAACAGTGCGAGGTGTCTGTAAGATGGCCAGAGGGGGACACGCAGTAAGTAGCAGACTGGATAAGGCCTGGAGCTCACACGAGGGTGTCCGGCCCACGGACTGGGAGATGCCACGAGACCAGAATGGAACAGGAGGAGAGAAGACGGCTGAGGACACGCTTCTGGTGATGATCTCCGAGGCCAAGCGTGCCGGCTCAGGCGCGCCGCCATGGGAGTGGGGCTCGCCTTGTGCACGGCACAGAGCAGGGCCTCCATGT